ACTTTCCGGAGCCATATTTTTTTCTTTGTGCTTGAAAAAGTATTTATTTTTTTGCTTCTGCATTTATTAATACTGTATTGTTTGATATTTTGTCATTTAAAGAAAAAAAACGATTTTTGTCTTTTAGAGCGATGCAAAAACCCTGTAGTGCATGCATGTCATCTATATATTTATTCTCTATTTAAATTGTCAGTAGGGTTGCACAACATGGTTTAATGCAATTCTAAAATTCCGATGCAATTCTAAAATTTCAAAGGCTGTGATTTAATGAAATTAATATATGCGCTGTGTGTTTCAGAGCGAAGTATGGCACTGTGTTCATTTATATGTGAGCAGCTTATGATCTTCTGTTTTCAGTGTCTCAGAGCGGCTCGTTTTACAGTAAATATTGCTCTACACAAACTCATCTATGTCCTTTTAATGCGCATTTCTGAAGCACCAGTTATTAAAAGAAAAGTGTTAAGTTCTGTCAAAACAAAAGTTTGGTAGTTCAACATTTAAACATTTTAAATCCTTTAAAACTTTTTTATTTTACAGTGAAATATTACTATAGTAATATTTCTTATGTTGTTTTTATTTAGTAATATATATATATTTTTATTTAATAATAATAAAAATAATAATACTATTTTATAGCCATATTTATATATAATCACACAAATTTGGCCAAATTGTGTAGCCCTACAAACAAGCACAACAATCCTGGATTTTTTTTTAATCGCAATCACAATCACAATTACATTTTTTTCCTCAAATTGTGCAGCCCTAATTGTCAGTGTTTTTTTCCCCTGTAGCCGCACTACCTGAATGAAGCTCTGCTCCTGCTGGCTAAAGTGCACTATGTTCAGGGACGCTACAGGGACGCCCAGGGCATGTGTGCCAGAGCAGGTGTGGACGATTTCACCCGGCATGAGCGGCCTGTCTACCAACTACGCATGCTGGCAGAGGCCTTTGTCATTAAAGGTATAAACAGTTGAGAGATCACTAACAGCTCATTAATCCTCCCTCATTATTGTATAATTAAATTATGACAAGGCAATTAACATACTGTATACAGTAATGCGTGAGGTCTAAATATTCAGTTAATTATATAATGTGTTGTAGCTTCCTGCAACCGATTAGCATTGTCACAACCTCTTTAAAACTTTGACAATATTAATTGTGTGAAAAAATTTGAAAGTTCACTCAGGTTTCACGAGGTGTAGTGGGTCTTAATTGGAAAAAAATCACTAAATGAATGACTTTCAGTCTATTTTGCACTTAAGTTAAAATACAATCCTTATACAGTATAGCCCTTATAATTGCTAGAGCAATTTAAATGTGTATTTAAGTTATTATGTAATTTTCATTGCTGCATTCCATTGAGTATTTGCCTCAGGCATGCGTTTGTTGGACTCATACCCAAGCTAAAGTGTACAGGGAAAAAAGGTCTGCATTGCAATCACAGAGAAGTCTGTGGATAGGAGTGTGTCTTTTCTTTTTTCATATCCTTGGGCAGAATGTGACCACAGAAAAAAAAAGGCAGTTTTACGTCATTGTCTACAGGGAAGCTTCTATATATATATCTTTAGTTATCTCTAAAAAAGGGTTTTTCCAGTGCATCACTCATCCTGTATTTGTGTAATATCCATTTTTTTAATCTCCCATGATTTTCTCATACAGAACATTCTCTCACACTATTAATAAGTACCAAAAAGTATGTGGTACCAGGGGTATACTGTATATGTATAAAATTACCACCTGACAACATCAGTACTCCAACAGTAAGGAACAACAATATTCAACATCATCAGTCACCATCACAAGACATTTAATGCAAAGTTACTAAATCTTCTATCTATCTATCTATCTATCTATCTATCTATCTATCTATCTATCTATCTATCTATCTATCTATCTATCTATCTATCTATCTATCTATCTATCTTGTATAACGTTGCATTTCCTTTTCCAGATCTATTTTCTCTACTCACCAAAACCAGTTTCTCTTGTATTAGGCACTTGATGAGTGTTAATTTTGGTTGCTGTGTACAAGTCTTCTCTTCAAAACTGTATAGATGGGGAACTCTTTTTAACAGTAGTGATGTGGTAAAGTTGCCCTAATTGTGTAGTTCCTCATTTTTAGTTCTCCTCTGTGTACTTCCTCATATAAAGATGGAACTAGTGATTTCTGGGAAAATTCAGTGTAGGTAGAAGTCTTGGTAAATCTGAGATATCAAAGCATGTCAGCCCTAGTCAGTGGTTGTTTGCTATATTCAGAAAATGGTAACACTTTATTTTAAGGTGTCCTTGTTGCACGTTACATGTACTTACTATTATAATAACAATTAATTATGCATAATTACATGCAAGTAACCCTAAGCCAAACCCTAACCATATAGTAAGTACATGTAGTTCATTAATATTACTCAGTACTTAAATGCATAATTACACTGTAACAAGGACACCTTAAAATAAAGTGTAACCCAGAAAATGTTTTCTAGGAGGTTCAAATATTTGTTTGTCCATGACTATTTTCTTTCTGTATCTTGCCCTGCTGAAGTCATTTGTTTGTTTGATAAACAGTTACTTGCTCTCATGTTGTTGCTCAAATTGGCACATATTGATTAAGAATTGACTGTACCAAACACAGAGATCCGTTCTCGTTCAATATGTCTTATTAAGTCTAATCAGCAGTACTGTAATTGGAGATGTAACTGCATTGCTCTATTCATTTAGCATGTATTGGCTCCATGCTTAAACTATATTTCATTCTCTCTTGCACAGTTATTGCCCCAATTTACTATAAAGTGAATCTTAACCTAATTGTTCTTCATAAATGTTCAGGTTTGTCTTTGGACCATCAGTCTATGTCAGGTGCTTCCCGTGTTAGACTGTCCGAGAGAGAGGAAGAATGCCTGTCCTGTTACCTCATGGCCTGTGATGCTGGCCTGTTGTACCTGCAAGAACTTGACAAGGTCGGTGTGTGCTTTACATCTTGCCAGGAGCCGGTTCACTCAGAACATGTTTTTCTGTTTAGACATGTCTCGGCGTGTCTTGCTGTGTTTTCAGCATCTTGTGCATGAGTGATTCAAATCTAAAGTGTGTGTATATATATTATGTATTATATAAAATTGGTATTTTGTATTCATCTGTGTTCATTTCCCGGCCACCATTGCAATGTATATATGTCCTCTTCGCTAGACTGTTTGCACGCCAAGTTCCAAAACAGCTAAAAGCAGTTCATCAGTCCCTCATTTTGACTTGGACCCAGGCTTCTTCCTGCAGGCAGCTCTTCAGAGCGCATACCTGTCACTGCTGAGGAAAGGGTGAGCGCACATGTTACTGATCTCTGACTCTTTACCCACAATTCCCTGCCCTTTATATTGAGCACTCATGCAGCCATGCACACACAGTATTCACAGCACAGCTTGACTTAATCCATTTATGGACTCCATGTGAATATATGACTGGCACTGTGTAAACACACCGCTGGTATTCTTGTGTCAACATGACCAGTGTGCTGCCTGGATGTGCCAGTCATGTCCAGCAGGTGTCAGGCTATATGATATATAGCCTATAATATATATGCGCAGTGTAGTCTATAAAAACACTGAACAGAGGTATATTTCCACATAGTGTTCTTTACTTGTCTCAGCTGCACTTCCCTCTTCTTCACAACAGTTCAGTTCTCTGAGACAGAAATCCGTGACTGTAAATGCTGTAAATAAAGTTCTATATTTCTCAAACTGCATCAAAACACAGGTGAAATGCAAACACTAAAATTAATCAAAAATTAATTCACAATAATGAAATATAATAACATTACCCACATTTTTGGACTTTAGCCTTTTTGTAACAATTGTGTTTTTGCAGCTAATCACTGTAATAATGACCACTTTAATAATATAGCCATTGTTACAGTCTAAATAATATCTAGTATAATGTGAATGTATTACAATTATGAGATCATAAAAAGCCATACTGTAACACCAGGGTTGCCAGGTCTGTGTAACAAAACCGGCCCAAATGGTACTCAATACCAGCCCAATCGCGTTCCAGTGGAAAATCAAAATCGCTCCAAAATGGTGTTGTAGGAGGTTAACTGACACTGACACACCATTCCAAACTAAAGTTTGTCATAATCCATCATCCTCATACACCCCCTTATGTTTCTTTTCTTGATAACGCTCACTTGTACAGTAGTGATATAATAATCATCATCAGTGTTTTATTGTCCACCTGTTAAGTCAATCAACATCTTATTTTTCAATCATTTTACTTCGCGCAATCACTTCTGCCCATGTGTGTTAGTCACTTGGCTCAGGGGACACAACAGCTGCGGCGGGTCATGAGGGCTGTGGAGAGTCGGGGGTCTCAGAGTTTTCGTAAGGTGAGATCTGGGTAAATTCGATTTTTGATGCTCACAATCACACAGCAGGAGTCAGTGGTTGTTGTCTATTGTGTCGTGTTGTTCAGACAGTAGCGTGCAGGCTTGCAGAAGTGTTGCTGGGCTCAGTGTGTGAGGACGCGTACTGGGGTTCACTGTCTCCTCCACCACCCGGCTGGCTGAAGAGAGAAGGAGCCACACACCCCAAAGACACCATCTACCCCTCATCCAGACCACCACAGCGCTACAACACTGAGGGGTCTGACTCTCTCTTTCCTTTCCCATTCTCTATATATTCAAACCAATTTTTCATGTAGGAAGCAATATTCAGAAAATAAAAGCACAACAAAACGAGTAAAGTTTGATGACAAACTTTGATGTTGGCTTGATAAATTAAAATAACTTTTAAAAGCTTGAAGTTTGAATGTTTTACTCTGATAAGTCATTAAAAGACAGTCCAATAAAAAACGAATTTAGACTATTAGACTTCAGACCCCATTAGACCAGCTTGACTAGCTCAGGCAGGCTGGGAGACCACAGCTTAAACCAGCTAAGACCAGCCAACCAGCTTAGGCTGGTTTTGGTTGTTGCTTGGCATTGTTAACTTGTTTCTGGGAGTTGCTTGCATGTTCTTAATTTTTCTTAACATGCTTTAATATGTTGAGTATTGTTAACATTTTTAGCATGTTTGTAACATTTTTAACACATTGTTGGCATGCTTCTAGCGTTTTTTAACATGTTATTAACACATTTTTGCATATTGCTAGTATGGTAAACATGTTGATAGCATGTTGATTGCAAAATTGATCACATTTCTAGCATTTTTGACATGTTGCTAACATGTTTTATAATGTTGCTAACATGTCTCTAGTATATCTAGCACATTCCTAGCATGATTTAACACGTTGATAAACAGATAGGTAGACAGATAATGAAACAAATACAGGAAAACTGTAAGTCTGATCAGTCATAAAAAATGCGGCACACTGTCAGAGCATCCCGAAGAGCTGTGCCTAGTTTGGATGAGTTACTTTTAGAACTTTTGTCTCAGAAAAAGAGGAGAAGAAAATCTTAAATAGTAGATCAGTTTGCTTTATCAAACCAACATAATAAGTGTTAATTTTAGCAGTTTAATGTGCAGTAAATCTCACTGTTCTTTAAATTTTATTGTGTACATCAGTCATAGAACTGTATTGATCAGAGAGCACAAACAAGAAGACAAGCAGAGGATAGCGCTGGGGTTTGTTTGCCTGCTTTAATATTCAGGACACGGCAGAATGCTGTGTTGTGAATAAAACATACTGTAACTGTACCTGTGAGTCTGCAGACGCCAAGCAGAGAAAAGGAAAAATACAACAGAGATGAAAAGAGATGGAGAGACTTTTGACAATGCATCTGAAGAACAGCTATGAGAACAGATGAAAGAAATATTCCAGTTTCACATTCCTGGTACAGCTTAGTAACACACTATGATGGGACTCCAGATGGTATGGAGTGAAGTAAGCTGATGAGATGAAAAACAAAAGGGGATGAGAGAAACAGAGACTGTAAATAACGATGAAATTGTTCAGAATACCATTAAGACATGTTAAAGTGACAACTGTGAGGATGGAAGTGAGTACAGAGAGCTCAGTTACAGACTGACATTAGAGACTGACACACACACACCTTGCTGATGTGTTTTTTTGTTTTCTTGTTGCAACCCTGCAGAGCTTTCTGTCCACAGGACGTGGTTGAAGAGGCGGTGCTGGTGCTCCTCATCACAGAATCAATGGTGAGACAGTCTTCCTCACATTCATACTTTCTTCATTAACATGCTGTGTTGTGACGTCTCTTTCCTTTAGCTGCATATTGAGAACTATTGCATAATTATATTATAGGAAATAGGAAAACCTGACATTATTCATCAAATCATCTTTATGTTGTTTCAAACCCATTTGATGTTATTTGTTCTGTGGAACACAAGAATCTTCCTCTATTCTATACTAAGTTTAGAGTGACCTCTAAATTGTCCTTTGGAGGTGGGACTGTTATTCTAGGTCAGGGGTGGCAAACTCCGGTCCTGGAGAGCCGCAGCCCTGCAGAGTTCAGCTCCAACCCTAATTAAAACTCACCTGCCTGTAGCTTTCTAGTAACCATACAGACCTTGATTAGCTTGTTCAGGTGTGTTTGATTAGGGTTGAAGCACAACTCTGTAGGGCTGCAGCTCTCCAGGACTGACGTTCACCACCCTTGTTCTAGGTGGATGAACTTGGATGCCCCAGTATGCTGAATATACTGCATTTGGCATGGAAACAGTTTGACAGTTTTGAAATTGTCTGCTAATCATCTTATGATAGACACTGCTGTTCAAAAGTTTGAGGTCAGTAAGATTTTTGTAAGGAAATTCATACTTTTAATCAGCAAGGATACATTAAATTGATCAAAGGTGATAGTAAATATATTTATAATGTTACAATAAGTTTCTATTTCAAATAAATGCTGTTCTTTTGAACTTCATATTCATCAAAGTGTTCTATATGTCAGGGTTTTCTCAAAAATATTAAGCAGCACAACTGTTTTCAACATTGATAATAACTCTGAAGACTGGAGCAATGGCTGCTGATCATTTCGAAAAATAATTTTAAATATATTAAAATAGTTATTTTGAATTGTAGTAATATTTCACAAAATTACGGTTTATACTGTATTTTTGATAAATGCAGCCTTGGGAGAATAAGAGACATCTTTCAAAAACATGAATTCACAAAAACCTTGCCAACCCCAAACTTTTGAACGGTAGTGTATGTTGTTTTTCAAGATATAAAGCAAATTTTGACACACGTAGGATTCATTTATTTTATTTACAGACACAGACCGTTTTACTAGAACATTTTAACATATGAATTATGTTTATTTTTGAGTGTTACCAGAATTTTTGTTGTTGTTGTTTGTCAGATAAAGCAACAGACAACACAATTGAAATGACAGAAATGATTGTTTTATGAGTTAAATGAATGGAGAAAAAACTTTTTTTGTATTCCACTGGCACAACAACATTGTACAGGTTTGGAACAAATAAATATTTCCAGGATTTTCATTTTTGGGTGAAACTATCCCTTTAACATATGGACTTTTAACCCTGAATGGCCCCCAACACTGCACATTTTGTGTGTATTTGTCACCCACTTCAATTCCTGAACATTTTATTAATGAGCTGATGAGTTGACTCAAACATGCCAGATAAGAGAGCCATCTAAAATGTGCAGCGTTGGAGGTTCTCCTGGACTAGGATTGGGAAACAGCTTTAAGATATTCCTAACCCTCTCACTGTTGTCCCCTGCAGGCCAGTGGCGAGGCAGTGATCAGCCGCACACCGGAGCATCAGGAGGCGAGGGAGAGCAGCATGCAGGATGCCTCCTCTGTTTATGACCTGCTGAGCATCGCTATGGCCAGGAGGGGGCAGTACGCCATGCTGTCAGAGGTGAGATGAGTCAGCACAGATCCCTATCGACCCCACGCTTTGCAAACAGGAGCAAGTGACCTGTATTTTATGTACTAGCTTCTTTCTCCTTCTTTGTCACAAGTTGCCTCTTTCAGTCTGTCGATCTCTCTCTCTCCTCTTCTCCCAGTTGTATGGGTGCTTATTTCCCCTTCCTCCTTCGTCCTGTCCTTCAGGTTGTTTCAGTAGTTGAGCCGTTGCGTGATGGGGAGCGTTTACTCAGAGACGTTCTCAGGTGAATCTGAATCTAAGTTCAATGTTTTCGTTTAGTTAATATCAACTGAATCCATGACATTTCACTGGTAACCCACTGCCATTACTCAGTATTACCAACACATGCCTGCGTGTATGTCGAATGTAAATCCCTTTCTCATCAAATTTAAGCAAATTTTCTCATGCATGTGCCATGATGTGATGTGTACAGGATACACACAATCCCCTATCCGTGCTGAAAACAACAAGATCCTTCCTAGAATTATTTAGTTGCTGAGCAATGTCAACCGCATTATCATTTTCTAGGAAGGCTGATTCCCTGATTCGAAGTTTCTTTCTGACTGTGATGTGGTGTGTGATTGTTTGTCATCAGTGTTTGGAGCGGGCCATGAAGTTCTCCTATAATGAGTTTCATCTTTGGTACCAGCTTGGCTTGTCTTTAATGGCAAGTGGGAAGGTGAGATTCATGTCCTATTGTCATCATCGCTGTTCTGTTCATTTATTAGTCATTCGTTGCTATAATTGTCTATATTTTAGCTTCAATTAAATAAATCTGTCCTAGTAACTGAAAGAAAGAAGATACCAAAGGTTTACTCACCCTCAAGTTGTTTCAAACCTGTATGAGTTTCTTTCTTCTGTTGAACACAAAAGAAGATATTTTGAAGAATGTTGGTAACCAAACAGTTGACGGTAGCCATTGACTTCTATAGTATGGGAAAAAACAATACTATGGAATGGCTACTGTTAACAACATTCTTTCAAATATTTTCTTTTGTGTTCAACGGTAGAGAGAAACTCATACAGGTTTGAAACAACTTGAGGGTGAGTAAATGATGACAAAATGTTCATTTTTGGGTGAACTATCACTAGACATGTTAAAAAAGAGGGTTAAAGGGATACCCAAAAATGAACCCCACCACCCAAAAATGAAAATTCTCTCTCATCATTTACTCACCCTCATGTAATCACAGATCTGTTGCTACAGTAATCCATACAACTCCAGTGGATGAATAAAAATCTTCTGAAGCAAAACAATAGGTGTGTGCAAGAAAAATACTCTTATTTTAAACATTTTTAACTATAAATTATTGATGCACCAAATTATTATTATTTTTTACTGAAACACATTAAAGTTTTAAATTAGCCTGAAAACAAAAATAAAGCTGCAGTAATGAAATTTGGTTAACTGGGTTTTTATGCTGTTCGAGGTGTTGTATTCTCAGGTGATATAACCCAGTGGTTCCCAACCCTGGTCCTGGAGGCACCCCAACAATGCTCATTTTGCATGTCTCCTTTCTCTGACACACCAATTTCAGGTCTTGGAGTCTCTACTAATGAGCTGATGACCTGAATCAGGTGTGTTTGATTAAGGAGACATGCAAAATGTGCAGTGTTGGGGTGCCTCCAGGACCAGGGTTGGGAACCACTGATATAACCCACCAGTCATAGTAAAGTTCTTCAACAACGAGCTGCCTCTCAATATTTCAGAGATTTTGAGTTTACACATCAACTTAAGCACGTTTTGAAGCATTATGTGAATGCATTGTGAAGTTTGCGCAGGAAGTGGCAAAGACTGTCACTTCTCATGTGAGCTTCACAATGCGCTTACATTGTGCTTCATGACATGCTTACAGTACATTTGTCAAATGTTGCATTCTCAACACTTGCATGAATGTGTTTACAACATTTGACCAAAAGCAATGGTTGACAGTAAAAAAAAAAAAATTGTATGTACTATATAGCATATATTAGTATGTTTCTTAAATACACCTGTCATTATGTGACATTGATTCATCCGCTGGGGTTGTTTGGATTACAGCCATGATGGTAATCTGCTTTTTAGAGTGTCAACATTCTGGTACCTGTCACTTTGTGATCACAGAGATGGGTTATTTTTCTAAAAATCTTCATTTGTGTTAATAAGAAAGAAAAAGCTATATACATCTGGGAGGACATGAGGGTAAATACATTTGAATAATAAAAAAAAGGATGCACTATCCCTTTAGAACTATGTGAAACAATGCGGTGCTTGAAAGTTAGAGTGAGTTGTGTAGTAACAGACCACCAATCATAAATTGACTCATTGTCTGTCTCATTGAATATTCATGAGCTTTGTACAGATGCAGGAGCAAATCCCATTCTACAATTTCCTTCAAGTGTTTTGTCGTTGTTTTGTATTATGTTTCAGAAGTCTTACGATAACCTGAACAATTATTGGTGACATCTCCACACATAGACAAGCAGTTATTAAAACAGGCCGTGCTCTTGTTGTGTAATCTATTTGTCCAGTCAATGTTATTAACCTCATGAATGCTCATTCAGGGCTTACGGATGTACTGAGGGATAATCTAAAATGACCCTGGGTTAATGATTTTTATGAGTAAAGGTTCATGCTTCTTCCATTGTGTGTACATGAATGCAGAACACTTGCATAAAGAAATATCAAAATATCACCGTCACTATCTAGGGTAGGGTTTGTGTCACTGCTACATTTTTAACTACTATACTTTCTTACATATATGTGTATGTATATTTGAAAGCTGTAATATTAATGTTATTTTACAGAATGAGGGTGCAGTGTCAGTGCTTAAAGAGTGTGTGACAATGAGACCACAGGACCCCATCCCACCTCTGCTTGCAGCAAAAGTGTGCATCAACCAGCTGCACTGGGTGAGAGAAACACAAAAAACACATGTGCACAATATACAGAATAATTCAGCAAATCTAAAACAAAAGCAAAAAAAGTGCTGTGCAAAAAGTTTTGTTTTATAGAACAGTTAAAATCAGTTAACTCTCCAGTTAAAGCTGAAAGAGTTCCAGCCTCTAAACGTACACAAGATTTAAAAAAAATAATAATAATTAATACTTTATTCAGCAAGGATGCATTACATTGATCCAAAGTGACATTAAATACATTTATAATGTTATAAAATACTAAGTTTAAATAAATGCTGTTCTTTTGAAATTTCTATTCAACAAAAAATGCTAATATATATATGTATATATATATCACATATTCCATAAAAATATTAAACAGCACAACTTTTTTCAACATTGTAAGAAATGTGAGATTAAAATCAGCATATTAGAATGATTTCTGAAGGGTCATGTGACACTGAAGACTGGAGTAATAATGCTGAAAATACAGCTTTGCATCATAGGAATAAATTACATTTTAAAATAATTAAACATTGTTCATGAAAATGTTAATATTTCACAATATAGCTGTTTTTACTGTATTTCTGGTGAGCATAAGAGACTTCTTTCCAAAACATTAAACATCTTACTGACCCAAACTTTTGAACCGTAGTGTACTTCCTAGCAAAAGGAATGCATATGTTTTAGGCTATGAATGAAATAAGCAATGTGCATTTCAGGAAAATTCATTGAAAATATTCACTTTGGCATCCATAAATCCTTAAATCCTAATCCCATAAATCCTATATAATCCTAATATGTTTTATAGTAAAACTAGCTATGTTCATAACATTAATTTAGAAATGACTAGATGAAACTAGAACTGTACAAGAAACATTAAATCTGTATTTTTCAGTCTTTTTAAAATGCTCTTTGTTCAGTACATATCGCTCAGTCCTAGAAGAGCTCTAGATTCAAATCGCTAATAGGTGATCTCTGTTTTACATTAGTTACATGCCCATACTAGTTATATCAATAAGACACAATGCAATGTCACAACACTATCAATCAAATACACCCTGCAGCACTGTTGACAGAGATTACGGCACATCTGTTGGAAGTGCAGTGCTGAATACAGACAGCACACGATAAGAGGCTTATAGCACAATATCTGGCTTTAATGCCAGATAGCCATCCCACAGTCACACTTCAGAACGGCCTTTTATCATCACAGCATCAAAACAGGGTAGGGGATTTGTCCTCAAGCATTTGTCCTTGATGCTGATCCATGTCAGCATGTATAGCATTTAAATTAAGGAATATCATATAACATATATTCATGATTACATGAATACATTCAAAATGAGTTGTTACAATTTTGCATTATATGTTTAGGCAGTTGATATAACCTAAACTGTTTTTTTTTTAATTATTTAATTTTTATACACTACCGGTCAAAGGTTTGGAATAAACATGATTTTTAATATTTTGTAAAGAAATTTCTTTTGTGTACCCAGGCTTTGTTTATTTGGTCAAAAATAAAGTAAAAACAGTAAAATTGTGAAATGTTATTCAAATTTAATATGACTGTTTTCAAGTTGCAATTTATTCTTGTGATGCATTCCTGTGAATAATGGTTCTTATTATTATCAATGTTGAAAACTTAATATTAATATTTTTTTGTGGAAACTGTTTGAGCACCAAAAACTTTGGTCTTTTTTTATAATGATTTTATAGTGTTTTCTGAAGGATCGTGTGACACTGGAGACTGGTGTAATGATGCTGAAAATTCAGCTGTGCATCACAGCAATACAGTTAATTTAATAATAATAATAATATTTTAAATTCTAATAATATTTCACAATTTTAGTGTTTTACTGTATTTTTGATCAAATGAATGCAGCCTCTGCGAGCATAGTAGTCTGCTTTCAAAAACATCAAATTGATCTTGTTTTCATATTCTTGCCGTTTTTATGACCTTATGTTGATTGAGCGACATTTTTAAAATCTGAAATTTTTTATTTAGCTTATGCTTGATTCCAAAGTATAGTTTATGGTCACCAATGATACATTTTGGAACATTCCTTGTTGGGGTTGAACCCGTAACCTTGAAGTTTCCAGGGCAGAGCTTTAACCGCAACACTACTCCACCAGTATATCTCACTGTAAGTTGAGAGGCACTGATATAAATCATCCAAACATCTAATGCATGTGTAAATGTGTTTGTGTCAGCTGGAGGATGCAGTGTCCCTCTCAGCAGGTGTGGTTGCTTTAGGAGAGTGTGCTGGGGAGTCTCTTCCTCGAGCTCATCTGGCCATTGGACTGTGCCGTAGTCTGCAGGCCTCTGATGGTAAGCCCGGCCTTTAACCGTGATTATCCTTCTCTGAACCTAAAAAATGATATAGGCCCCCAGCTCTCTTTAGCTGCTCTCTGCTCCCTCATGTCTGCAGTGACTCTTTCACTGTGTGTTTGCAGCTCCGCTGAAAGCTGATCGCGATGAGTTCAACAGAAGAGCGCTGCAGTCACTACGGAAGTACGCTTGATGTTTACCTGTGTACTTAACACAGATTGAGTTAAGGAGGCTTCAGCCACCCACTTTGTGTGGGAATGGTTTATACTATGACTTTTATTGATATTAAAACTAGCTGCACTTTTTTTTCCTCAAAAACCAGTTAGTTTGGGGTCTGTAAGACTTGTCTAACGATTTTGAAAGAAGTCTCGTATGTTCACCAAGGCTGCATTTATTTGATTAAAAAAAACAGTAAAAACAGTATAATATTATTACAATTTAAAATAACTGTTTTCTTTTATAATATATTTTAAAATGCAATTTATTCCTGTGATCAAAGCAGATTTTTCAGCATCATTACTCCAGTCTTCAGTGTCACATGATCCTTCAGAAATCATTCTGATTTGCGGCTCAAGACGCATTTCTTATTATCAATGTTGAAAACAGTTGTGCTGCTTAATATTTGGAAACCACAATACATTCAGGATTCTTTGATTGATAGAAAGTTCAAAAGAACAGCATTTATTTGAAATAGAAATATGCAACAACGTAAAAGACGTTACTGTTGCTTTTGATCAATTTAATGCAGCCTTGCCAAATAAAAATCAATTTCTGTAAAAATATCGTAATGACCCCAAACTTTTGCACATTAGTGTATCTATATGCAATTATTTTCTTTCTTTCAAAAACTAGTGCTGTCAGCAGGAAAACAATATAATAATCACAAATAACCTCATGATTATTGATCAGTCTGAAACTGGTGATACATACATTTTCTGAATGTCAACATAAAAGTAATATTTACAATAAGCATATTTTATTAATATTAACATCTCACAGATATTTTGGTTGTAGTTAATGTGTTATGGAAACTTGATTCTGAATCGAATCAGTTCATTTAAACTAATGCTAATGCTTTCAAATTAAATAGTTTTAAATCACATTACTATGCAGTTTAACAATTTCTTTAAAGAAATGCAGTGTCACAATTAATTCCAGCATGTACACTTAGTGAAGAGTCAGTTGTGAGATGACTGGCAGAGCTCAGCCTGGAAACAAGGTGATGAAAACTTCACAAAGACTTGTTTTTTGACTTCAGAGCACATGCACTGGACCCTGAGGACCCTCAGATCTCCTTCTACCTCTCTCTGCAGCTCGCTCTGGTCCGACAGGTTAGCACATTAACGCATCAATCTCACTGACTAGATGCAGAATCGTGTCAGGATATCAGATTTCTGTTCTTCATATCTTCCAAGAAAAGAAATGTACATGAATCTCTCTTCTTATTTTGCATGATTGTGGATTTTTGTAGCTTTTGTTTACACGTATGACGGTCAGGGTCATATTATTGTGTGAACACTGTAGTTCTTTATCTCATCATATTCCGATCTACTGTATGTGACCTCTTGTGTTTGTGGTAGGTGTCAGAAGCGATGGAGCCGTTGCAGTTGGCTCTGAATATACGTGGGGATGATCTGCACGCTCTACACCTGCTGACTCTACTACTCAGTGCCCAGAAACACTACCAACACGCCCTTGATACACTTAAACTCGCCATTATCCAGCACCCGGACAACTTTAAGTATGCTTTATGTGTTTGTTCTACTTCAAAAAGGATAGTTCAACCAAAAATTTTTATTCTGTCATCATTTACTGAACCTTGTGTAATTAGACATTACACTAAGTATAATTAACTTTGCATCTGCATGTCAACTAACTCTCATTTGAGTATTAGTATACTTTTAGGTTAGGGCTAGGGGTTCTGATTTTTTGAAGTCGACTTTTATGTGATGAAAGTCGAGTCGAAGTCGACTAGTCGCTGATGACGTCATTAATGAACAAATAAGTCTGGAGCTGTGACAAACACCTTGTGCACAGCTATGGCATATGACACAGCGCTGCCCACATGGCTATTGCTCCTATAACAGCTTTTTTATCAGTTCTTTTGTCTTTGGGTCGTTATATTTCTCACAGATTTCTGCTCATTCTAAATCAGATACAGATGAAGTAGCACAGTAAAGATTACATTAATATGAATGCATTAGTGAGAGCGATTGCGTGTGTGAATTAATTCTACCTGGCAGCGTCTCTCTACTAATAGTGAAGCAGTGGAATTTAGTTATTAAAAAGAATCTATATATGCTAGAACTTTTCAGTTTCTAAGCCATTTTATTAAGAAATCACAGAACAGTGTTGACAATACATTTCCGTGCTGAATGATTCTGTGCGCGTGATGTACGCGCTACTGTCTGTAGCCTATGTGTGTGCTTTACAGTGCAGCAGTGCATTAGATTAGAAAGGTTGATTAATATACCTGTACAATAAGCTGTTTAAAACATGCATTCTCCCGTTCAATTTCGAGCATCCAGTAATATAATCACACATGTCTTGTGGAGCGCTTTCAGAGTATGCATTTATTTGTCATTTGAACTGTTTGGAAACGGAGCGTAAATGTGGAAGTCCTTCAAAGGTTTATTATCCTGTTGCACCCTCTATAGGACCAGCGACTAGTCGACGTCAAGCTTAAAGTGTCATGGCAGAGCATTGAAGTCGACTAGTCGATTAGTCGGTGCAACCCCTAGTTAGGACTAGTAGAATAAGTTGACATGTACTTGTAAAGTTACATGTCTGTTGAGGGACCATCAAAATAAAGTGGTATCCATTCTAAACCCGAGTTTCATCATTCACAAAAACACAAAAAGAAGGTATTTTAAAGAATGTTGGGAACCAAACAGTTTTGGCTACCATTGACATCCACTGTATGGACAAAAATGCTGAGACATTTCTCAAAATATCATCTTTCATGTTCCACAGAAAAAAATCATTTTTGGGTGAACTACACCTTGAAGTCCCATTGTCTGAATGTCAAGTCAAATAACTTTAAATATTGAAATAGTGCTTTTTCAAAGCAGCTTTACAGTGGAATATTGCAGTATTATTGCAATATTGCAGTCTTAAATCCTATAAAATCTTTATTTAGCAGTTTGATTAAATATTATGCCTTAATATATTTGTCTGCAACCTCCAGTGAGCTGCATTAGAATATTTAATGGGATATTTCACCCCTAAATGAAAATGCTGTCATCACTTACTCAATCTCAATTTGTTCCAAACCTGCATACATTTCTTTCTTCTGCTGAACACAATAGAAGATATTTTGTAGAATGTTGGTAACCAAACAGTTACTGGTAGCCATTGACTTCCAGTAGTATTTTTACCTACTATGGAAGTCAGTGGCAACCAGCAACTTGAACATTCTTCAAAATATCTTCTTTTATGTTCCACACTATAAAGAAACTTGTACAGGTTTGGAACAACTTAAGGGCGAGCAAATGATGACAGAATTTTTATTTTTGGGCTGTCTATCCCTCTAACTGCATTAAAAAACAAAATATTAAACCTAGTGGCATCTGAATGCAACGCAGCTGTTGTTGCAGTGATTTTAGATTTTAATGCAGTGAGTAGCTTCATCTAATCTGACATAATTTTAACATTTAAGTGTAAATGTTAATTTCATGTGGACTCTTAGAGAGTTCTAGTGCTTTTAAGTGATCTGTTCATCTCTTTCCTAATGAGGAAATGTTCCCTTGCCTTCACCTGCACCTGATCTCCAGTTGCTCCCTGACCTCCAGTCCAGTTCTCCTGGCCCAGTGTTGTTATTATTAACTAAAATTAAATAAAATAAAACTGAAATAAAATAGAATATAAATATTAGATGAGACATTTAGAAAAATTAAACAAAAAAGTGTTTATACTGAAAGAAAATAAGGTGAAGTACAAAAATTACTAAAAAGAAATACAAATAAATTAAATTAAATACACAAATATAAAAAAACAAAAACTGATAAAAATGACAAAAGCACATAAAATTACTAAAATTAAAAATATAATTCAAAATATTAATAAATACTATAAAAGTGTATTAATAATACTAAAATAACACTGTCACTGTCCTGTATTGGGTATTGACCATTTTGTCTGTACACCAATTTTAGCTTTAGTCCTCCTAGGCTAAACTGGAGTGTATCCCAGTGAATTCCGATTTATATATGCACTTCACCACCACGCTACAATAACCCGTCGCAGCAGGATGATCTGCAAGTCTCTCTGGATCTCTTTCTCACTTGAGTGAATGTTCTGCTGCCCTGTTTACACCCCCACACACACCTTCACATTCATCTCGCTTCACCCCTCCACCCTTCAGCACACACAGACGTCCACCCACTCAGTTCAGGGGAAGAATGTCCTCAGACAGCTGCAGAATTGCTAGATTCTGTTAGCATTGGGCACTGATTCTGAAGCATTGGGCACTGATGATGGAGAACTAGGGTTGATAGTGTTTGACCCAAGAAGTTCTGTAATACCCACAGAAAACTATCAGTTAGCATTCATACCATCTCAGTGGCAGTTGCTCGTGATCTGGATGCTGCTGTCTTTGCTTCATGGGTACTCGGTTCAGGAAATGTTTATTGATAGTGACTGAGGTGTAACTGTCTGAATGACGACTCTGAAATGATGTCCTAGGTTAATTGGCTGATGGCAGCATATTTGCTTGTTCTTGGCTAGTGCATCTCAAAGCTCTGATGTCAATGGCAGTAGATATAGACACACACACACACATATATATATACAGTGGGTACGGAAAGTATTCAGACCCCCTTAAATTTTTCACTCTTTGTTATGTTGCAGCCATTTGCTAAAATCATTTAAGTTACATTTTTTCCTCATTAATGTACACACACCATTCTAGCCCTCAATTCCTTGATTTTTCTTGAGTACATAAGTGAAATGACTTTAACTTAATGTCATCTGCACTATCTTCTGAATAGTTGATATATTGCCCAGCCCTAATATGTTTAATCTAATATATATTACATTTACGCCACCATTCAGAACACTGGGAACAGTACATTTTTAAAAATGTTTTTGAATAGTCTCTAATGCTTATCAAGGCTGCATTTATTTGATTAAAAATACAGTAAAATTGAAAAATATTATTACAATCATTTTTAATGTTTAATTAATAAAATTAATATGTTTTAAAATGTAATTTATTCTTGTGATGCAAAGCTGAATATTCAGCATCATTACTCCAGTCTTCAGTGTCACATGATCCTTCAGAAATCACTTTAATATACTGCTCAAGAAACATTTCTAATTATTATCAGTGTTGAAAACAATTGTGCTGCTTAATATTTTTAGAAAGTAAAAAAAAAATATATATATATATAATCCTGTATTATCAGGTTTGATAAACAATTTTGATAAATGATTTTGTGGGATCCAGTACTTTCTCATTCTGTCTCTTTTTTGGTGCATTTTGCACTTTAGTTTATTCCTTGTTATTGTGTGTGTTTTAGCCTTCTGTTTACCAAAGTGAAGCTGGAGGAGGTTTTGTTCGGACCCGCTGCAGCTTTACAGACCTGTACAGAAATGCTGCAGTGGTGGCAGAGTCGCTATGATTTTACCCGTCTCAGGTAATGTGCTGCATGTGTGAGTGAGTGCCTCAGGTGTGTCTGTGTTGTATGCTGTGATTTCATGCATTCTGCTCTCTGTTCCAGTGAGGAGGATGACACTAGCAGCATACCTCCTGATCCAGGCCCGCTGAGCAGGAAACCCAGCGGCCTCCATCTCACGCTCCCAGACTTCCAGGAGACAGAGACCGGTGTGTATCATGAGTGTATGTGATTGCGTGTGTGTTTATGTGACTGAGACGTGTGTCATGTTGTATCAGGGTCTCAGAGTGCCCCGTCTCTAGCTGTGTCCCGTCTGGAGCAGGCCATGTCAGAGGTGTCGGCCCTCAGCTCTGCCCACAGGCACGGCCCCGCCTACATTTGGACCACCCTGGAACGCATCTGGCTACAAGCAGGTATGTGTAGTAGTTACACTTCCTTTTGTAATATATCATTACCTATTATTTCTGTAACTTTTATTAACGTTAACCAGAAATAAATTACAGGTTTAAAATATTTTTGTAATATTTGAAAATTACAGGCCTCTCTCATCTTTTTAAGTGGGAGAACTTGCACAATTGGTGGCTGACTAAATACTTTTTTTCCCCCACTGTATATATATATATATATATAAAAAAGTGGAATTAATGTTTTTTAATTAAAAAATATTTTTTTTATTTCATTGTTGTCATGACACTCAGCATATGTTGTCTTTGAAGAATCTACACAACACAAAACTGTGCAGCTATAGATGGCTAAATATAACTAAATACTTTTTTTCCCCACTGTATATATATATATATATATTAAAAAGTGGAATTAATGTTTTTTAATTAAAAAATATTTTTTTATTTCATTGTTGTCATGACACTCAGCATATGCTGTCTTTGAAGAATCTACACAACACAAAACTGTGCAGCTATAGATGGTTAAATATATGTAAGAAAGGCCATCACCGCTCACTATGCAAATAATTATTATAAGTATGCAAATATTACAATAACGCCATCATTGTCAGTAACATTTTGAATGTTAAACGTTTCAACAAAATCAGTGGGAAATTTGCAAACTCTCAATCCTAAATTTCCCAAAAGTAGAAAATACATAAATACACATTTGCAAAATGTTGGTGAAATTTTACAGGCAAGAAAGGTTCATTATCTATTTGCAATAGCGTAGCAATCTATGAAATCAATAGTGTTATGTATGAGATCACAGTCACTTTCAAACCAGTGTATTACTGATATACTATTGTAGTATTTAATAATATTTTGAGTTTTCAGTTTTCATTTTAATTCTTTTTTTTTTATTCAATTTTTTAATTAATTCCCAAATCTCATTGATTCCTATTCCTTTTATCTCCAAAGCAAAGTATGGACAGAGTCTGTATGTTAAGCAGTTAATTAGGCAAGAAAGGTTCATTATCTATTTGCAATAGCGTAGCAATCTATGAAATCAATAGTGTGAGATCACAGTCACTTTCAAACCAGTGTATTACTGATATACTATTGTAGTATTTAATAATATTTTGAATTTTCAGTTTTCATTTTAATTCTTTTTTTAATTCAATTTTTTAATTAATTCCCAAATCGCATTGATTCCTATTCCTTTTATCTCCAAAGCAAAGTATGGACAGAGTCTGTATGTTAAGCAGTTAATTATGATAAGTGTGAAGAAAAATTTCAATACATTGCCGTCTTTGAAACACTATAATGAACATGTGCGCCATTCCATAGGTGTGTATCAACCTTCTTTTTTTGGTGTAGTTGCTGCCTAAATTGTCCTACCAGTGATACTGTGTAAACAAACACAAACACTCAACAGACACAGTTGATTTGCTGTGGTGAGTCCTAAATGCCAGAGTAGAGCTGCAGATGCTTACACAGCACTCCACACATGGCCTTATTTAGACATGACCATGAAAATCCCTCTATGAGCATGTGTGTGAGATTTTGGGTGGAGGGGGGAGGTCAGCATATAACTGCAATCGCAAATATGCTGCCAAAGCTGCATTCTAAATCATCTGGACAGAAGAAAATGCTACATGCGTTCGATTCTCCTGGTTGAAGCAAAGCTGGTCTGAAATGATGTTGGTATTCAGTGCTTTACTCTGAGCGAGTATTGATGCTGTGGCAGCAGATACGTCTTTGAGAGTGTTGATGTTCCAGATGGCTGTGTCACGGCTGTGAAGTCAGAGAGATGAATCATCATCCGCACTCAATGATATCAATAAGAGAATCTCACTATATGCAAAGCAGTCACTGAAAGAGGAGAGTTGTAATTGTAATAAAGTAATTTTTCGTACAATTATGGGTTATTGTTGATCTCATAATATTCTTGTATGTTTTGTGATGTGGTGCCGAGCAGGAGAGTTGTTCATAGCTGACGGGCGGATGAAGGAAGCTCAGTTCTGTGTGCAGGAGGCAGGAACTCTCTTCCCCGCCTCACACTCAGTGCTGCTGCTCAAGGGCTGTGTGGCCGAGCTCAGGGGCAACGACGCGGAGGCCAAGAGCCTGTATGATGAAGCTCTCGCCATCAACCCCAGAGGACACCACATACTGCTGCACCTGGTAAGTGACACACGCTGCACACACACATCTTCAACCCATACCACTGTTGATATTGTCAACTAAAACAGTAACTTAAGTCATTTTCAATAATTGAAATGAAGCTGAAATTATTTATATACTTAAAATAAATATTTTTTTTAGATTATATTAATTATAAATATATAAACAACGTTGCCTTTGCAACTTAAAGAAATAAGTTAATATTGAAGTACTAAAACAAACATTTACCAAAATTATAACAATAATGACAAAAGCACAAAACTTATTATAGTACTATTCTATACACTTTTTGCAGAATTTGGCTCATTATGTCAAAACTCTACACACAAGCCAATCAGACATAGCCCTTGGAGATTAACAGCTCACATCTATGCCAAAATGGAACACTGCAATCAAAACTTAACACTCCTTTCTAAAAATGAAATTCTTGCAACAAAACCATACACACAAGCACCATTTGAATTACTGTCTTATCACCAGCAACACACTGATGGTCTTTATATAAAACACTGCAGTCTTTGTGTTTCTATTTTTATTGTCATTTTCTCAGACTCAGTCTTCTGTAAAACTCACAAGTAGAATTTCTGCAGTAATCAAACAAGAGTTTTTACAAAAAAACAAACATTCTTACAGAAACAAAGAAAAATAGAATCACAAATTCAGCAACAAAACAAAAGTAAAAAAACAAAACCATTACTGGATAAATTGCTATTGGGGGGAAAAAAACATACTTGTTTTGTGTGTGTGTGTGGTGGGGGGCTTATGATCCCGCCTTCTGTTCGGATCTGGCCACAAGATCTCGTCAACATCACAGGCGATGTCCTCGCGGGCTAGGCATCGGGGAAAATATCACCCTTGGATTGATCCCACCTCAATGTCTCCGCATGCCTCTTCCATTGCTTGCAAAAGAGTCATGCAGGCGTGTGGTTGCCGATCATATAATTTCCACCACCACGCTGAAAAGAATTCCTCGATTGCATTTAGAAAGGGGCTGTAAGGGGGCAGGTATAAAAGTGTGAAATGGTTATGGTTGTTGAACCAATCTCGGACCAGAGCAGCCCGGTGGAAACTAACATTATCTCAGATGACAACAAACCTGGGCTGCTGTGGTCTGTCCTGCACAACTGCATGTAGTGCATCTAGAAATGCAATGATCTGTCCTGTACTGTAGGGACCTAGAGGGGCATGGGGATGCAGGACTCCTTGGACACTAATTGCAGCACACAAGGTGATATTTCCCCCACGCTGCCCAGGGACATTTACAACAGCCCTTTGTCCAACTACGTTATGGCCCCGATGCCTGGTTTTGGCCAGATTGAAGCCTGCCTCATCCACGTAGATGATGAACTCATGTGGCAGTTCGGTGGTATCAAAATCCAGAACTGTCTGTAACAGGAAAATATTGAATAGTGTTACTGAAAACACATACAGTAACTACAATGTCTATATTTTCACACAAGTAGGGGCTGGGTTGTGTCAGTATAAACAAACTTTAAGCTACAGGCAGGGCAGGTGGCAGCATAAACACTCATTCCCACATCACAATATATAGTATGTAAAGTAAAGTGACACATACGTGCACATAACCATGGCACAGATCCTTGACCCGGACACTGTTCCTCTCAAATGGCACCCTGTACAGCTGCTTCATTCTGAAGTTATGTTTCTGTAGAATGCGACTTAGTGTAGAAATGCTGACCCTGTTGATATTGTTGAATACACTTCTATTTGCAATTATGCGTTGTTGCAACTCACAAAGTCGGATTGCATTATTTTCTCGCACCATTTCAATGAGGGCAAGCTCTTGTTGTTGAGTGAAGAGCTGTTCCCTTCCACCTTGAGGAGGTCGTCCAACCATTCTGTAGAAAATGCCACCGCAAGATGTCATTGGTTAGGTTCTTTTTCACATACTGTACTTTCAAACTGTACACAGTACTGTAACATCACAATGGTATTCCTTTACATATGCTTCACAGCACTACCCATTTTTGTATAGTACAGTTAGTACAGTAATAGGATACAGAATCATGTGACACATACAGTAGGTACAGTCTAGAGTAGAAACTTGAAGATATACCTGTTCTCCAGTCGGAATGTCCTTATTATCAATGCTACTGTGTAGTTGCCCAGCCTCCCTCATGGACAGACCATGATTTATCACATGGTCCACCAGAGTAGCCCTGATGTCATCTGATACACGTCTCCGCACTGGTCCTCGTCCTCTTCCACGTCCACGTCCGACTCCTCTCTCTCTCTTTGTTCTCATCTTACTCTTACTCTGACTCTCATTGCCTCCATGCTTGCAAAGTTCTCAAAATGGCTTACCTGAGGCCTATTTGTAGTGCTAAGGCTCAGACCGATTGGTGTTCTGTTTTCTGTGCAAGTGTTTTCAGGTGTGTATGTAAGTGCCTACAATTGCCAGATGAGTTTTGCATTTTGAACAGAGTGTTTTCCCAATGATAACAGGTGATTTCATTTTTGAAAACGTGTGTAGCGTTTCGCAATAAGTGTGTTACAGAATTGCAAACAAAGTGCAAAGTTGACAATGTGTTTAAGCTATGGTTACACTGTGTTTAAGGTATGCTACAAGAAGTTTAGGTATTGAGGCTTTGGTCTAAGCATTCGGTTTTAGTGTGTAAGCAATGGGCAAAAACTGTAATACTTTGTGTTTGTATTTTTTTTAGTTTAAGTTTTTCATTTAATATTTATATTATTTTATTTTATTGGAGCTTTATTTAAATTAAGAATTTTAGACCTCACGTGAAATTCCCGATCACATGGATTTCTGAAATGGCTGCCTAGTAATTGAAATAAAGCTGAAATAAAATACAATATTTGATGAAAAACAAACTTTGAAAAATGTAACGTTAAAACTACAAAAAATCGAAATGTTGCCTTGGCAACTAACCAAAAATAAGTTGAAGTTGAAGTGCTAAAATGACTAAAACTAAAACTATATATATAATATTATATTATCTCCTATACATATACATATTGTATTATCTCATATACATATCTTACTTACACACACACACAATTCAAATACTAATAAATACTGTAATAGTATATAAATAATACTAAAATAACATGACTCAAAATCCAACAGTCTGAGACTACAGAGAATATCTGGCATTTTTGTCAATTAATTGTGATCATGTAACCTTTTGTACAGACAGTACAATGTTCTTGCTTCCATTGAAGCTTGTGACGTTCTTCTGATCATTCTCAAATCGTGTTTCACACAAACTTCTGGAGTTCATGCAGCTCTAGTGCAGCTGTCATTAAAGCAAAAGAGAGACAAACCAAATACTAAGAGATTATAAATTCATATTAAGGACTATTTCGTGTTAGTCAACGTGAAAAGCTTTGAAGACCACTGATGTCCTGGGATATGATGATTGAGTCATTGCATATGCAACTTACTGTATATACAGTACAGTACATACATCTTTACAACCCACAGTGATGTGTGCTAACATTAGCTCTGCCTCCACTCTCTGCTCTCATTGTGACTGCATAATGTCGGGCCCTTCATTACTCATCTTCACTGGAGTAAACGGAGTGAAGCTAGGCCATTTTCTCCCTATATCTGGCCAATCAGAGCACACATCCCCGCTATTTTTGGACAAAACACGTACCATATCAATTCCCTGAGCTGATGAGAACTAATTCTGTGCTAGCTGGTGATGCCCTGCATAGTTCACACTCACACTCACACACACACACACATACATACATACATACATACAGCTGGTCTTTATCAGAGCATCACAGCACTGTGAAGCACTGATTTCTCAGGATTAAGCAGCTATGATTGAACCGATGTGGAGTTTTGAGGGTTTCATCAGCTGGATCCAATGAGGAGAGGTTAAGCATTTCTGTTCTTCATGACACCTGTGACTAGAGCAGCAGCACTCTCATTACTTCTGTCCTTCCTCTGAGACATTTTATTTCAGAACCTGTCTGTTCACCCAAAAATGGAAAATTATGACACAGTTTATTATGTCTTTCCAAAACCAGGTAAATCTCATGAAAAAATTTCCAAGTCACACAAGTTCACAATAAAGTTGTGACGTAACTGAAGTAGAGACAGAATTTTACTTCCATATTGTGATGTATATTATTATTATTATTATTATTGAAAAGATTATTAAAAAAGAAAAACATGTAGGGCAGGACTTGATTAAATCCATCGGTTGTTGATTAGATGGAAGCAGATCTGAATGTGAGCTTACAAGTCGATTGTTTAAGTGGATAAAATGATTGGAGAAATACAGTAGCAGTCATTTCAATGGATTGAAATATGATATTTTGATTAAACATTACAAGATCAAATTAAAAAAGAAAGACAACTATGAATAATTTATAATAAAACAAAATAGCATGCATTTAGAAAATGCCATTTCATGCAGACTTTACAATAGAAAAAATAAAAATACATTTTTAGGACCAAATGTTAATTAATGTAATGCATCTAGAATCTAGAATCTATTTTAAATAAAGATCTCATTACAGAATTTGTTCTATATTTCCTGAAGAAAGCCATCCATTTTCATTATTTTTAGTCAGTCTAACCAGTCCAGAGTACAACCAATACTACCATGATGTAAAATACTTGAAATAGTATTTTTGTTTAAACTTTTATTTTATTTTTATAGTAATAATACTGATTTGTCATTGTGCTAAAGAGAGGGGCATCCTTAAAATTATAATGTCACAATGCTAAAAAAAGTAACATTGTGGTACTTCAAGTAGGCTTTGTTTTCGTCAATTATTTTTTATTTTGGACTGATGTGGGAGAGGCTTCAAATGCGAGATCAAATTAAAAAAGAAAGACAACTATGAATAATTTATAATAAAACAAAATAGCATGCATTTAGAAAATGCCATTTCATGCAGACTTTACAATAGAAAAAATAAAAATACATTTTTAGGACCAAATGTTAATTAATGTAATGCATCTAGAATCTAGAATCTATTTTAAATAAAGATCTCATTAC